AGCTCCTATTAGTAGGTGCCATCACGACTCCCGAGGGTGGGAAATCCGGGTCGTGACAAGTTGGTATCAGAGCACTAGGTTACATAGGTCTCACAACTCACGGACAAACTCGGTAGAGTCTGGGGGATCGGTACGGAGAGGTCTGTATTTATCCCCCAGAGGCTACAGAGTTAGGAAAGTTTCACATTTGTTCTTTCTTGTCGTGCGGTTCTATTTCTCAAGTACCGATTGAATTTCTACTCTGTTCTTTCGCAGATGGCGAGAACACGTGCTTCCTCTTCAACCGCGCAGCAGCCCGAGCCTTGAGCAGCAGCCCCAGGGGTGGAGCCTCAGATTGGTTATGACGAGGAGATCCCAGCTCCAGCAGCTCCGGTGGGCCCAGCTCGGGTCCTAGTGGGGTTCATAGCCACCCAGTTCTTCAGGACGCTTTGGTTAGATTGGTAGGCTTTATGGAGAGCGTCATTCAAGCGGGTTTGCTTCCAGGGGTTCAGCCAGTGGTGGCAGGTCAGTCGGGTACAGTGGCTCAGGCCGGGAGTGAGATCACTTTTCAGGAGGCGGCCGATGTGGGCCGTAGAGTTGAGAGGGTTTTGCCACAGGGAGGTGGTCATGGGTCGGATAAGCGGCCACGTCGTGCAGGCAGATTCAATGGTACCTCGCCTGGAGGTAGAGGTTCTTATGGTAGAGGCCATCCTCCTATGCCCTTTCAGTCAGCTCTCCAGGTCGCTCATGGTACTTCAGGTGGTCATTCAGGTCGATAGGGTCAGCCTCAGTTTCCTCAGCTGCAGCGTTCGTGTAGATGTTATGAGTCTGGTGAGTATGGTAACAACAGGAGGGTTTGCCCGAGGTTGAGGGGTGCTCAGCCGCAGCAGACGAGGTCTTGCCATGCTTGTGGTGATCCGAGGCACATTGTCAGATTTTGCCCTCGAGCTTTGAGCAACTCTCAGTATCAGAGTTCTCATACTAGGATTCGGGCACCAGAGGTTCCTCAGCCCGCCCAGCCAGTTAGAGGCGGTGGCAGAGGTGTTAGAGGTGGAGGTAGAGGTCATAGAGGTGGAGTTCAGGTCGCCAGAGGTAGAGGTCAGCCAGCAGCCAGGCCCGAGGCTGAGTCTTCAGATGCAGACATTACAGGTACCATTCTGATTCGTATTAGAGATGCTTCAGTGCTATTTGACCTTGGGTCTACGTATTCGTACGTGTCGTCCTATTTTTGTACCGTACTTGGTCATGCCTAGTGATGCTTTGAGTATTCCTGTTCATGTATCTACACCGGTGGGTGATTCTATAGTGGTCGACCGAGTGCATCGCTCCTGTGTGGTAGTGTTTGAGGGTCTTGAGACCCGTGTTGATTTATTGCTCTTAGACATGGTGGATTTTGACGTTATATTAGGGATGGATTGGTTGTCCCCGTATCATGCCATCTTGGATTGTCACGCCAAGACCGTTACCTTGGCTTTACCAGATTTGCCCTGTTTAGAGTGGAGAGGGACCCCAGGTCATACCACCCGCAGTGTTATTTCATAAGTTAAGGCTCGATGCGTGGTCGAGAAGGGGGTGTCTAGCTTATCTGGCGTATGTTCGCGATTCCAGCGTAGAGGTCCCTTCTATTGATTCTGTTCCTATTGTTCGAGAGTTCCCCGAGGTTTTCCCTTCAGACCTGCCGAGTATGCCGCCCAACAAGGACATCGACTTTTGGATTGATCTGGCTCAAGGCACTCAGCCCATTTCTATCCCGCCGTATCGCATGTCCCCGCCAGAGTTGAAAGAGTTAAAGGATCAGTTTCAGGATTTGCTTGAGAAGGGTTTCATTAGACCCAACATCTCGCCTTGTGGTGCGCCGGTGTTATTTGTGAAGAAAAAGGATAGTTCGATGTGAATGTGCATTGATTACAGGCAATTAAACAAGTTACAATCAAGAATCAGTATCCACTGCCGAGGATTGATGATTTATTTGATCAGCTTTAGGGTGCCAAAGTATTTTCAGAGATAGACTTAAGATCTGGCTACCATCAGTTGAGGATTAGGGCATCCGATGTCCCTAAGACAGCCTTCCGCACTCGGTATGGGCATTATGAGTTCTTGGTTACGTCATTTGGGTTGACAAATGTCCCAGCAGCTTTCATAGACTTGATGAACCGAGTGTTCAGGTCTTATTTGGATTCATTCGTGATAGTTTTCATTGATGATATATTGATATACTCCCGCAGCCAGGAGGAACACGAGCAGCATCTCAGAGTGGTTCTTCAGACTCCGAAGGATAGTCAGCTATATGCAAAGTTTTCGAAGTGTGAGTTTTGGTTGAGTTTATTTGCATTCCTGGGTCATGTCGTATCTGCAGAGGGTATTTAGGTTGACCTGAAGAAGATTGAGGCAGTCAAGAACTGGCCTAGACCAGCATCAGCTACAGGGGTTCGGAGTTTCTTGGGATTGGCAGGCTACTATCGTCGGTTCGTGGAGGGGTTTTCTACTATTGCAGCCCCGATGACCAGGTTGACCCAGAAGGGTGCCCAGTTCAGATGGTCGGATGAGTGTGAGGCGAGCTTTCAGGAGCTCAAGACAGCTCTGACTACGGCACCGGTATTGGTTTTGCCCACAGGTTCAGGGCCTTATACAGTTTATTGTGATGCTTCCCGTATTGGGCTTGGTGCAGTGTTGATGCAGGATGGCAGGGTTATTGCCTATGCTTCGAAGCAGTTGAAGAATTCATGAGAAGAACTATCCAGTGCATGATTTAGAGTTGGTAGCTATTGTTCACGCCTTGAAGATTTGGAGGCATTATTTATATGGCGTGGCATGTGAGGAGTTCACTGACCACAAGATTCTTTAGTACTTATTCAAGGAAAAGGAGTTGAATTTGAGGCAGCGGAGGTGGTTGGAGTTGTTGAAGGATTATGATGTCACCATTTTGTATCATCCGGGGAAGGCCAATGTGGTGACCGATGCTTCGAGTAGGAAGTCAGCCAGTATGGGCAGTTTTGCTTATATTCCGGCCAGCCAGAGGCCGCTTGTTTTGGATGTTCAGGCTTTGGCCAATCGATTTGTGAGGTTGGATATCTCTGAGCCTAGCCGAGTGTTAGTTTGCACGGTTGCTCGTTCTTCATTATTGGAGCGTATCCGTGATCGGCAGTTTGATGATCCCCATTTGTGTGTCTTGAGAGACACGGTGCAGCGTGGAGGTGCCAAGAAGGTGACCTTAGATGATGATGGTGTTTTGTGACTGCAAGGGCGAGTTTGTATGCCCAATGTTGATGGGATTCGAGAGTTGATCTTAGAGGAGGCCCATAGTTCTCGGTACTTTATTCATCCAGGCACCGCGAAGATGTGTCAGGATTTGCGGCAGCATTATTGGTGGCGTAGAATGAAGAAGGATATTGTAGCATATGTGGCTCGTTGTTTGGATTGTCAGCAGGTTAAGTACGAGCACCAGAGGCCTGGTGGTTTGTTTCAGAGGATTGAGCTTCCCGAGCGGAAGTAGGAGAGGATCACTATAGACTTCGTTACCGGACTTCCGTCGACTCGGAAGAAGTTCGATGCAGTTTGGGTTATTGTGGATAGGTTGACCAAGTCAGCGCATTTCATTCCTATGGCAGTCCCCTATTCATCCGAGAGATTAGCTGAGATTTATATCCGGGGGATTGTTCGCCTTCATGGTGTGCCAGTATCTATCATTTCGGACAGGGGTACGCAGTTTACCTCGCTCTTCTGGAGAGCAGTTCCGCGAGAGTTGGGCACACGGGTTGAGTTGAGCACAGCATTTCATCCCTAGACGGACGGTTAGTCCGAGCGGACTATTCAGATTTTGGAGGATATGCTCCGGGCTTGTGTTATTGACTTGGAGGTTCGTGGGACCAGTTCTTGCCTTTAGCGGAGTTTGCCTACAACAACAGCTACCAGTCGAGCATCCACGTGATACTATGAAATGGGAGCGAGTGGTACGCCTACCACGTGATACTATAAAATGGGAGCGAGTGGTACGCCTACCACGTGATATTATGAAATGGGAGCGAGTGGTACGCCTACCACGTGATATTGTGAAATGGGATCGAGTGGTACGCCTACCACGTGATATTATGAGAAATGGGATCGAGTTGCACGCCTGCAACGAGAGAAAATTGAAACAAGTGAAAGTGGTTTGTTTTCCCTTATTCTGTGTTAGAAGGAATCAGATGTAGTTTCTTTTGTTATTCCTGATATTCCGTTTTATCTTCTACCCCATAAGCATGTTCCCCTCCCAGTTTTAATTGTTTACTTTCCGCTATTATTTTGTTGTACTTGTATATATATCTACACAGGTTTATCTGGTAGTCTGGTCTAGCCTCGTCACTATTTCGCCGGGGTTAGGCCAGGCACTTACCAGCACATGGGGTCGGTTGTGCTGATGCTACACTCTGTGCATCTTTTTGCACAGATCCAGGTGTTGGAGCAGCATTTGAGTAGCAATAGCATTCTGGGAGCGAGCTTTCAGTCCAGGGACATTCGAGGTAGCCTTGCTGACGTCCGCAGGCCCGGAGTCTCATTCTGTTTTATTCAGTTTGTTGTCATTTGTACCGAAGCTAACAGTTCTATATTTCATTCAAACCTTGTATTTAGTATTCTCTAGTCGTTCGTGAGTATTGTGACACCAGTCTTGGGTAGAGGATTTTGTTAAACTTCCGCATTTCTTTCGGTTAATCATATTTGAGACTTCCGTTTTATCATATTATGTTTTGTTTTCATGAAATGGACGATAACTGCTAAAAGTAGTAAATTGAGTTGGCTTGCCTAGCTCCTATTAGTAGGCGCCATCACGACTCCCGAGGGTGGGAAATCCGGGTCGTGATAGAGGCCTTCAGCCATCCAGAGTAACATCAATTTAGATGCTCCAATATTTTCATCCTCCCTAAATGCTCCCATAGTTAGAAGGCAATGTCTCAAATGATCCGGTAAATAGCAGTAACTTAATTGTATTGCCAAGTTGCTCTCACTTTCAACTGCTCCAAAGACTTCAAATTGTTTGCAACTTCTCACCACTCTGAGACATTCCTTTCTTTCTTTGCCAGAATTCCACCAATCAAAACAACTGTAAGAGGCAGTCCTTTACAATATTCTGCAATTTGTACCCCAACATCCTGCAATTCAGGAGGGCAAGTTTCCTTTTGAAATGCTTTTTTCTCCAACAATTTCCAGCTCGCTTCCGTGGTTAGGAATTGAGGGGAATAAGGATCGGTACAGTGCTCGACTTCCATTGCCACATGTTCAAGTCGAGTTGTTAACATGATTCTGCTTCCTTGTTTACCGATTGGAAAACATAATCTTAACTCATCCCATGCCTTTACTTCCCATACATCATCCAAGACAATGAGATATCTTTTGCCTATTAAACACTTGCGCAACGTATCGGCTATGTCACTCTCCTTCTCTCCATTGTACTTAACACCCGTCACTTGCTTATAGATGTCCCTCAACAGCTCTCTCACATCATATGATTGCGAAATGGTAGCCCATGCTCGAACATCAAAGTGAGAAACAATAGAAGAATCTTTGAATATCTTTTTGGCCAAAGTGGTCTTTCCGAGACCAGGCATGCCAAAAATAGAGACAATATCCCGTTCCCTTATTCCTCTTGTCAGTAGCTTAATTATCTTGTCAGCATCATCCTCAAGCCCCAAGGGTTCCTCTTCAGTTACTTGAGTACTTGGTGTAGCAATCTCATTAATGTTGACATTCTCCATCCTAATTAGCTTGATCTCTTTTCGGGTTAAAATGCTTGCTGTCAGAGAGCAGTATGCCTAACATGAGTAATAGCAATGACATGGTCAATCTCCAGTAAGCAATAAAAAAACCAGTAAGTGTAGACAAAGACTATAAAGATCAGGAAAAAAATAGGTGCAAACAATGGTAATGCTCCAGTTAAGATTAGGAACTCTTAATTCTCTGTTATAGATTTGTAAATTGCCTGTAAATTGGAGTCTTTTCTTCAGATGTTTTTTGTTTCGTTAGTTACCACTCCAGCTCGTGAAAACCTAATGTAAAATTCCCCTTATGCATGAATTACATCAAGATATTCCCATTTTCAGATTCAGATTCCTTTACATAGATCTATAAATTCCCAGTTCAATTAAACATTTACATTTATACTTTATTTCATTCATTATTAATCCAGCTTATTAAATATAGAATTCTGCATTCTATGACTAATCTTTAAATATAGCGACATATTTCAAAGTAAATGAAATAATAATTTTACAATCAATAACAGCATTGTATGAGTATAAATCCATGTTGTCATAATTTAATTTAAAAAAAAAATAGAAAAAGAACTCATTGAAGTTTAAAAGCTGCCACCTGTTTGAAAAAGGGGTAATTAACAATCTCTAATCTGAGAACCTCATCTAATGTTCGAATTACATCAAAACATTCCCATTTTCAGATTCAGATTCAGATTCCTTTTACATAGAGATATCTATAAATTTCCAGTTCAATTAAACATTTACAATTATTCTTTTATTTCATTTATTACTAATCCAGCTTATTAAAATTCAGAATTCCGTGTTGTATGACTTACATTTAAAATCCCATACGATATAGCAACATATTTCAAAATAAATGAAATACAAAATAAATATACAATCAATAACAACACTGTATGAGTATGATCCATGTTGTCTTAATTTAATTCTGAAACAAAAAATAGAAAAAAGAACTCATTGAAGTTTAAAAGCTGCCACCATCACCATGTTTGGAAAAGGGGTAACGTCAATCTCCAATCCGAGAACAAGGAAATATGAATTCTATTCTTAAGCAAGAAAAAACACTGACCTGCAATTCGACCTTCCGTTTATCAGGAGCGGAGAGCTTCTAATCTGTGGTGATGGAGCAGTTACGTGTTTGGATAAAAGTGCTGAAATTAATAATAAGTAGCTGAAACTAATTGATTAAAAAGTACTGATAAGCTCTTTTTATGTTAAAATGACTTAAATGACATCATAACAATTTACACTACTAAAAACGTTATTTTCTTCAAAATTTTAGACTCTACATAGATTCTACCTATTTATCATGTTATTTTAATTATAAAAATAATTAGATAATATCTTTTTTATAAATATAATTTATGTTATGATAAGTATACAATCATAAATTAGAACGGGTAAAGTATAAATTAACAAAAGTTAAGAAGAGAACCTTAAATAATGCACAAAATGTTTGTAGAGAAGAAATAAACACTTAGTATGTATTGTTTATAATAAATAAGATTAAAACATTCATCGTAGAGGAAGCAATAAGATCAACCCCTCTACTGTTGCAGAGGCATGGCTAGAAGGCAACTTCTGTTTATAGAGGCATGGCTGAAAGGCAACGTCTGTTTATAGGTTTTGAAGAGTTAAACTATACGTAGATTTTTGCTTTAAACAGAAGTATTTTAGGGATAAAATAGTAAATGTTTTGGTCAAACCTTAAGTGCTTATAAGCTGAAATTTGATAAGTTGGGGGAGACCAACTTATGACTTTTGGCTTATTTTTGGCTTATAAGCACTTTTAATTTTACCAAACGCGCAGATAAGCCAAAAAGTGCTTATAAGCCAATTTGACCAGCTTATAAGCTTAGCCAAACACCCTCTTATTACCTAATGTGAATTAGAGAATATATATTGTCCATATTCTGCCAATGAATTTTTAATTATCAATGCCAGCTAGCTGCACAGTATATGTACAGTTGAGTTTCTAATTTATTAGTAATCAGAAAGGTATCTTAAAACACATAATCATAATATATCTTATGTCACATTATTCGATGATATAGCTGGTGAATTCGAGGAAGTCTTTTAATTTTACGTTATTGCCTCTACCATCCAAACTCAAAATTATTAGCGTCGGTTTGGAAAACCACCCGATAATTAGTATTAGTGTATTATTAGAATAGTTGATAGAGATAAGTTTCAAGAGTTTGTATTGTTTAGGGAATAGAGATAAGTACAAGAGTTTGTACTGTATAGGGAACTTGGTATTTGTATAAATATGTGTAATGAGAAGCTAGACACAAGTTGGCCTATTCTTCAAACTAAATTTTCTCATCTAACTCTTTACTTCATCATGGTATCAGAAGCCACTCGATCAGCCATGGATTTTGAAACTATTACTTCCTCCTCAACTCAATCGTCCCTTGGCCTTCCACTTCCTCCCCCAACCGTTTCAAACATCAAAGTATTTGTTCCTATTGAGTTAACCTATTTGAACTACTTAACATGGAAGAAAGTTTTTCTTACTGTGTTAAAGAGTCACAATCTTCTTTCCATTATTGATGGCTCTATTCCATGTCCTTCAGTTAATCATCCTGAATTCAAGCTATGGACTCAGTGTGATACAATTACAATGAGTTGGATTAATGCAACCCTTTCTCCACCCGTCCTTGATACTCTTCTCAATTTTTCTTGTGAAACATCCAAGGATGCTTGGGATACTTTGGCATCCTTGTATCTTGACCAAGTGTCCTCCTCGGCTATTCACCTAAAATCTAAGTTTCAAAATTTCAAGAAAGGGTCTCTCTCAATGGAAGATTACTTACAACAACTCCACTTTATGGCTTGCTCCCTTAGGGCTATAGGTAAGATCATTACTGAAGATGATCTTGTGACTCAAGTCTTGCAAGGCCTTCCTTCGTCTTATCGTACATTTGTGTCTGGCCTCAACGCTAGTGGCAATCTGCCTTTATTTATTTTCTTGAGACCATTGTTGCTTACGGAAGAGGCACATATCAAGAACACTCCTATAGAAGATTCGTGTTCACAAACCACTGCTTTAGTTGCTACTACTCAAGGACAACCTAACAGTGGTAATCAATTCAACAGGGGGCAACAACATGGACGTGGTCGTGGTAAAAATGGTAGGCATCCTAATGGAAGAGGACGTGGGAATCCTTCTCGATCATTTTCTCCTCAATGGAATGCATTTCGACCTCCAAGTCATATTTTTCAACCTTCTCATGGAATTTTGGGTCATTCTCCATTTACTCCCAATCCCGCAAAGCAATGTCAAATTTGCTTTCATTATAATCACACTGCATTGGAGTGCAAAAATAGGTTCAATCACTCCTATGTCTCCAATTCCATTCCGAAGTCTATCGCTGCCATGAGCCATGAAGAGGTTCAGCCTACAGTTTGGTATCCTGACTCTGGGGCTTCCGCACATATGACCAGTGATGCTTCACTTCTTTCTTCTTCTTCCCCTTACACTGGCTCAACAAAAGTCATGGTGGGCAACGGTAATCTCCTTCCTATAGTCTCCACTGGTTTTTCTTCTATTCTTACAAAATCAAAATCTTTAGTTCTTAATAATGTTCTATATGTTCCCGCTCTCAAAAAGAATCTTCTATCTATTCAGCGTCTTTGTGCGGATAATAATTGTTACATAGAATTCACTAACTCTACTTTCTTTGTCAAGGATATGAAGACCAAGCAAGTCTTACTCCAATGTGATAATGTTGGCTCCCTCTATCCTCTTTTGGTTCAATCACTGCGTACCTCCATCCTCAGTTTATTTGGAAGCACCTCATCTCCTTCAGTTTGGCATCAACGCCTAGGACATCCTGGACAGCGTTCCCTTGGTGCCTTAGCTCATAGGAAACTTATTAGTTATTCATCATCATTTGATAATAATTCTTGTAATGTTTGTCATTTGGGCAAACAAAGTCGTTTATCTTTTCCTCAATCAATTAATAAAACAAGTGCTCCTTTTCAGTTAATTCATTCTGATGTATGGCAAGCACCAGTGTCATCTAATTCTGGTTTTCATTATTATATTTTGTTCCTTGATGACTTTACCAAATTTTCTTGGATTTATTTGATGCGACAAAAATCTGAAGCATTAGATAAGTTTAAGGAATTCTACACAATGATTTCTAATATCTTTCACTCGTCAATTTCTTATTTCCAATCTGATGGTGGAAAAGAATATGACAATGTCCTCTTCAATTCTTTTCTTAAAGAAAAAGGGATTCTTCATCGTGTTTCCTGTCCCTATACATCAGCTCAAAATGGTAGAGCCGAAAGAAAGCATAGGCACATAAATAATGCTATTCGTTGCCTCTTATTTCAAGCCAAAATACCATTCAATTTTTGGGCAGATGCATCCTTACCTGCTGTCCATCTTCTTAATCTTACCCCTCTGCCAGTTCTAAATTTTTTTTTGCCTTACGAAAAATTATTTGGTCGTCCTCCTACTTATGATTCACTCCGTGTGTTTGGTTGTTTGTGTTACCCATTTGTAGCACATAATCATGTTACTAAGTTTCACCCACGTGCAGTGCCTTGTTTATTTCTTGGTTTATCCCCAATTCATAAAGGATTCAAATGCTTGAATCCCTGTACAAATCGGATTATAATCTCTCGGCACGTAACATTTGTAGAATCAGTTTTTCCATATCCTTCTATGTTTTCTACTTCTTCTCAACTTCTCTCAAATATGTTTTGACTTTCGATCTCCTTCTACAGTATCATCTTCAACAGATTTTACAACTAATTACCATATCCCCTATGCTCCTCCAACTCTTTCCTGTGCTGCCCACACAAGTCATAGTCATCCTACAACTCTATCTCAAACTAGAGCAACTATTATCCCCAACAACTCTCCAGTTTCATCTCAAAGTTTGTCCCAAGATCCCGTAAATAGCTCCAACTCCCCAGCTTCATCTCAATCTTCAAGTGATATGCAAATATCACCGTCCTCGCTATCCTTATCTCCATCTAATCTGCCACAAGATTCCAACATTAATTCTACCCCATCACAAGTTCAAAATTCTAGTCATGAGTCCAGCCCGTCTCCTATCTCTTCTTCACAACCAACAACCTCACTTCTTGCTAATTCTAATCGTCCTCATCACATGATTACACGATCTTTGACTGGCTCTCTTAAGCCTCGTATTCTCCCCTCTTTAGCTGCCTCTACAACATCTTCTTTGACAGAACCTCACACTTTTGCTCAAGCAATTAAACACACACACTGGCAGCGTGCAATGA